AAAGCAAATGATAGTTTTCAATTTGGTTTACCTTTGGACTCTACAAAGCTGTAGAATCTTAAGTGGGGTTTGAGCCCTGCCTCAGTTTCCTCACTTTAAATGACGGCCACTTTTAGAGACCAGTGTGTTTCTGATAGAATGGGAACATGGTGCCAGACTGTTATTCTGTGCCATGAAATTGGTATGTAAATAGAGACTAAATGAACTAAGACAATAGAACAGAAGAGGGAAGTCTTTTTGCCCGGTAGCCTCTGTGACCAGGTTGTACGGACGGTGATTTCTGCTGTCGGGTCATCGGAGGGCTGTCTCTCCTTGGTTCTCATGTCGATTCACCTGATGCACAGCTGGACATAGATGTTTGCCTACACCTGAGTGCACATGGCTCCTCAGGATTTAGCAGTCCACAACTGGACTGTCTGTCCACAGTGCTCTTTTAGGAAGATGTGTGCTGAAACCACTTGCCAACACTATGCTTGGCTCTGCACTTGGTCTCCTCCGTTATGGGAACTGTGTGGGACTTCCTTGGAAGCTTGAGGGTAAGATCTAAATAGATGCTTTCAATCCTCCAGGATCTTCAAACCAAGGCCGACTGTAGAGATTCAGTTCAGGCCTCTAACAGCAGGGTGAATTGGCTGTGCGGAGCCCTCCATGCTGAAGGCCAGCGGTGGCCATGGTGCATGGTGTCAGCCATCTGATGGGTGTCGTATCACTCAGATGGTTGGGTCTCAGACTCAGCCCTTTCTTATTCTAGGTTGGACCCTTGAAAGTGTGCATTTCTCAGAGTTTCTTAGCAGATACTAAAGCAATTAGTCTCATTTTGAGAACTAGCAGTCGACACCTTCTTTGGTTCTATTTACTTCTCACCACTAGAGGAACAGGACACGAGGAGTTTCTGCAGTGCATATGGCCCAGGACAGACAGTCCCCACACGTCCTGACTGCCCTCCTGTCCAGGGGAGTAGAGTAGAAAGTTGACTGCGTCATGTTCTGGTATCTTGTTTTGAGTTAGCTCATCTACTTGCGTGGCTCCCAAGAGTCCGGTAAAGAACCGGTGCCAGGCTGATTGCATAAGCAAACCTAAGGAACTTGCTAAAAATAGATTCCTGGTTTGTGCTCCAAGCTGCTTTGATTCAGTGGTTCTAAGGTGAGGCCTCGGCCCCGTGTCTGTAGCAGTCTCCCCTGGCCATTTAATAGTCTTCCCATTTACCTGCCTTGAGTACTTCGTGTCCTGGTCACATACATAATGTCCCATTACATCTACTTTGAGTACCATGCCTAAAACTTAGGTGTGGTGCCTTGGGGGAGGGGATCATCAGCTTTTTAAAGGAAGCATGTGTGGGGCTTCTTCATTTGCTCCTTGGAATGGGTTATGCTAGAGGAGTGGCCTTTGGCAGCTGCTCAGACAGGCCCTCATGGGCACAGAAGTCTTCAAAGCAGCACCACTGGGGGCATGTTTAGGAGCGAGTGTGCACAACAGACAGTGCTTCTCCTCCAGAAAGAGCCTTAGGTACTGCAGGAGCACAGCTCCCAGCGGCAGCCTTCAGAGCAAGGGGAGGGTCCTTGAACAGCTCATTGATCAGTGCAGTCATCCGCTCACCAGCCAGGGTGGTGCACCTGCTCTGCGGAGGCATGGAGGCGTGCTCTGAGAATAAGCGGAAGTTTAGATGCTGAGATGGATGCTCCTAGCTTTTTCATACCCCTTTGGCACGTGCGCCTGTGCTGGTATGCCCGGCCTGGGCAGGGCACTCCTCCGGCACGCGGGCCAGCCATCTTGTGCACGCTCAGCCTTCACGTGAAAGACAATAGTCCCTGCAGGGTCCCTCCTGCTTGCATCATCTGCACCGTTTTATTTTAGGTGGCAGAACACAGTTGCCTTTCACAAATTTCCTTTATGCTGTGTGAGTACTCGAAGCTGAAGTTGGTTCTTAGTCCATTGGACAAAAACCAGCAGCACTCTATCTGGGAGTGGAAAATTCCTCTTTTTATAGAAGTCTGAATGCTAATATTAAAGGCCTTCTGTTTAGTGTCTACTTGTCAGTATGAAACGACTTATATTTTTTGTTTGTAATTATTTGTCACATGGATTTAAACTCAGCTATTTCACAACATTTATATAAAATGGACTGCTTTACATTAAAATTCATGTAATGTTCCCCTTCCTCCAACTGAAGTCAGTCATCACAGGCTAGCTGTGTGTTTTCTGTGGAGCTAAATATAGTGAATCATATAGTCTGCAGGCATTATCAACGCTTTGCTTTTAAATGAGAGAAACGCACCATGGAAATGCTGTCTTTCATTTTGAAGGTCATTGATTGGGTTAAAAAGGTAAATGCCTTTTTTGGTTGAACTTCCTTCAATTAAGTCATTAACCTTTTAAAGCAAATGTATTCAAAAATCTATCACAAACGCTAAATGAGATTTTAACAAAATCCTGACAATTTCAGCTTAAACATATACACAGAAACCATATGTGCTTAGGAAGAAATATATACACACAGGCATTGTTTACAGAGTGTGTTTTTATATTTAGACGGTACTGGCGGAAGAGTTACTCTATACATACATTATCTGAAATGTACATTCAGATAGCCACACAGATTTTACATTAAGAGACAAAGATGTCTCTATCCATGGTGGGTAGACAGACAGACTGACTGACTTCAAACCTGCACTTGCAGTGTAGATTTTTTTCCCTCCATCTCCGGGTACTGCTTTTTAAAATTGCCTCAGGCTACAGAACAGCACCTCACATCCCCAAGGCCCAGGGCCTGGCTCCTAATAGCCAGGCTCCATCTGTGACACAGAGCAGCTGACGAGATGGCTCCGGTGCCTGTATTTTGGAGAGAACATCCACCCAGGTTGAAGTGCCGGGGTTGCCAGGGAGCAGTCAGAAGCCATTAGTGTGGGCGAGAATTTGCCTGGCAGCAGGTCCTCGGGCTTGGTGGGAAGTGCATGCACGTGTCCCTGGGTGGGTGTGGGTTGTGCAAGCGTGTGTGTCTTGTACAGGTCCTCCCCTCCTCCCCCCCTCCATGTGGGAAGGGTAGACAGAGGAAGACCAGGCTCTATAGTATTCAGAAGTCAAATGCCTTTTGTTTTCTGTTCATTGATTTGTTCTTTGAGTATCTGGACATCTCTCCCTCTTTCTTCCTCTCCCTCCCTCCCTCCCTCCCTCCTTCCTTCCCTCCCTTCCTCCCTCTTTCCCTCTGTCTCAGTCTCTCTCTCTCTCTCTCTCCTCCTCCCCCCCTTTTGTTTTTATCATAACAGAAGGCAAAGAAAAAGAGAACAGCAACTTCAGGGTCATGCTGTAGTGTCTGGGCAGATGGAAGGCGTGCCCTGCCCTGGGGCAGGGTGGTTGTAATGAAGTACCCTGCCAGCCTGTAAATAGTGAGGGTCATCTCCTCCATGTGATGGAGGGGATCGCGTTGCAGTGAAAATGGAAATGTCAATAAAATTAATCTGCCAGCTCTTTGCTGTGGTTTTTCTGCTTCTCTGGTCAAAGGAGATTGGGGGGAGGGAGGGAAGTTTGGTGAGAAAGGAAAAGAACAGGTACAGGCAAGCCTGCTGTGTAGACCCAGAGGTTGGGAGGCCGGTGGCCCCGTGGCCCGGTGGGCAGGAAGTCTGTGCTGTGGCTGTGGCGTGGTGCGGCTGGAGGTGGGGCCAGGCCTGGGAGTGAGCTGGTAGATCTGTGGCATTCCTCAGGAAGCTACGGAGCTTCCAGCTCAGGCTACCCTGAGCACAGAGTTTATTGTTCTAGGCTTTCTTAGACAAGGTTCTTACTTAGCATGGGATTTATGGCATTTACTGCTAACGAATGTCTATTCTTAAATTACCAAAAAAAAAAAAAAGAAAAAAAAGAAATGGCAGCGCAATTCCCACATGTCCTTCCAGGCCCCAGCTTCTTAAACATCAGCAGGGAACACAAACTCTCCACTTCCCTGTTTCCCTCTTTCGTGTGGCTGCAGGCTAATGATGTGTAAGGAAAACACAGCCATCTATAAAGCCCCAGTGCTGTCCTCGAATTCTTCATTTATTTTGCATTTGATTATGCCACAAGTCGGATCTTGTTTCTTTTCCTTTTTTTAAAGTTATTAGTTCAAATATTAATGTAGGGATGTGGCATATATTGCTGCTCTTGATTGATGCCTTCCCCAAAACAGGGAGACGTGCTCGTATGAATTTTAAGAAAGCAGGGGTCCTGCAATGCCTTTCCAGAAGAGTTTTTCAGATACATAATTTAGATGCCCTCTAGGCAGGCTTTCAAGGCATTTTTGCCGGAGGGCAAGAAAAAATAAGTATGACTGTTAAAAGTAAATGATTTTTGCTAATGCACAATTAATGCCAGAGAAAAGCACAGAAGAGAAAGATGCTGATGGAAACTTCTGATTAAGTGAGCACCCTACCTTGATGTGCATCTCTTTTTTTTCTTTCCCCTTCGTAATAATGATCAGTGGTACAGAGAGCTAAAAGTTTTCATGTCATGCAAATGTGGCATGCAGGGTCACATGAGTGTGCGAGCGTGCGTGCTTAGGAGGTGACAGTTGTAGGAGGGGGCCGAGCAGGCAGTCACCAGTGCCACAGCTTCTGTCACCTGTGCAGGCAGCCTAGAATATATAGACTACAGAACACTGAACTTGATTACCTGGCAGTCTGTGCTCTCTGTGGGCGTGGGGAGATGTTCCCACCGAATGGGCTTGTGGAGGGCGGTTTTCCCACATTGGATCCCATAATTGACAAAGAGCTACTGCTTTGCATCAAGCACACAAATTATAATTGAATTAATGATATGGGCAGAGTGTGAGACACACAAAATTAACATTTGAAGAGGCCTGGTTTAATTTTGTCTTTTACATATTTGTGTCTCCAATTATACTTTAATGAAAGAGAATATTCCTGCTTAATGGATTTCTTTCAACAAGCTTAGCTGAGCTCATCATCAGCTGAATATTGTTGTGGGCACGCTCACCACGTCTCTTCTGATGCATTTTCTTGTCTTCCTACCAGGGGATGGTTTAGACAACAGTGTAGCTTCGCCGGGCACAGGCGACGATGACGACCCAGACAAGGACAAAAAACGCCAAAAGAAAAGAGGCATTTTCCCCAAAGTAGCAACCAATATTATGAGAGCGTGGCTCTTCCAGCACCTCACGGTAAGTCGAGATTAAAAGCGGAAGCCGCTGTATTGCTTTGTTACGTTCGCCTAGCAAGTCACATAGTCTCACACAGATTTGAAAATAAAAAAAATAAGGTGTCTGTTTATTCTCTTGAAATTCATGGAGTAACGAGCAGTTGAGGTTTTATCAGCTCTTAGCATTCCAAGAGCTTCTCCAGAAAGGAATAGGTTTGTGTTTTAAGAGGTAAACAATGAACTTTACTCAGAAGGGTCCAGGCTCCCTAAATAGTGTGTGTGTGTGTGTGTGTGTTAATAAATTTGTTATTTATATTGGAAGATATGATAGCAAATCTAGAGAGTGTAACTTCAACCAGAGGAAATGGCTCTAAGAAGTCCATAAAGAGTCTCTAAGAGTCCCTAGTCCTTGCTGATTTCAATATTAATGTGAGCTGTCTCCTCTAAACTCAAAAAAAAAGGATAGAAGGAAGGAAGGAAGGAAAGAAAAGCCTTTTGCCACATGCCTATCCCAGCTCCTGGTATCAGCTGCAGCTTGACCCGTGGCTGTGGTCTGCAGACGTGTCATGATCTAGATGAGAAATGCGAGAGGTTGTGGCTACTGTAAAGCCTTTGTTTGCAAGGTGGGAGGTGCAGGTTTTGTTCTAGCTGTTCAAGTGCACTAGATGTAAAGCTAGCCCTCTTCACTTCTGGGAGAGGATGAACTATGTGCCACATTTAAAACATAACGATTTATATTCTCCTGTTGGCAATCAGTTTTATGTTTTGGTCGGTATGTGTAGGTGTGCACTGTTGACTCTAAGACTCTCATGACGGATGATGACAGTATACTTTGCAGAAGAGCTAGGCTTATATTTTATTGTCCATTTGGAAATTCTTGGAGAATGGTAAAAATTTCAGAGAAGGTGTCTCACTGCTTTTTTCAGGCCGTTCAAGGTAGGCTAATGCTTCAGAACACAGTAGCATGTTAAAAGTGGCAGTTCTTTGATTAGTGTCGCCATGCTGTGTCACGGGTGCAGGACAAGGCTCCCCTCTTATTTATGGTAGTTGTTGCTGGTTTGCTCTTTTCAGAAGGCAGCAGAGGGCAAGGGGTGGAGTGGAGGTGGGCAGGGAAAGGGAGAGAGTCTCATTCCTAAGTCGGCCATTTTGATGGGAGGACATTAGTGGCAAACTAAGGGGTATGGATCTGGCCTGTGGTGTTAGGATTAGCGGGGAGAGCCAAGGAACCAAGGGGCTGCTGTGGTGGTGGTTAGACCTGCCTTCCAGCTATGGGCGTTTCAAAGGTCAGGGCCCTGCACCCGCTTGGCTCCAAGGAATTAGACAGAACATGCAGTCTCTGGGCTGATTACTTAACCAAAGACGAAATAATGAGTCCTAAGCAAATACTGACTAATTGAAAGGGCTGTAAATCCATTACATATTGGTCAGGGATAATCAGGAGTATTTAATCACTTTTATCTATTCAGGAGCACTGGAGCTGCAACAGCAAAGCCCTGAACCTTACCGTGTGGTTATTATTCTCATCATTATCAAAATTACTTCACAGCTGTCCTTTGCTACATCACCTCGGCTGGAGATTTGCTAACCTGTAAAATGTTTTTAATTTGAAAGTGGAACGAGCGCAAGGGAAGGGCCTTCTCGTTCTTAACGGGAGGTTTGTTGGTCTGGGTAACAACGGAAAGAGGCAGGCAGCTTGCTTCCCCGGCCGGCCTCGGGCTGCCTCCAGCAGCAGCCCACCTGTCCCGCCTCCGGCCCCAGTGCCTTTCCTGTTGGAAAATCACGACTCAGTTGCTTTCCACGCTAAAATGCGCGTGTGTGCGACCTCTGTCATCAAGACCAACATCCCAGAGTATCAGGTCATGGGCCATCCTGTTTACAAAGGAGGAAGCTGAAGCCAGAGAGCCAAAAGTGTGACTCTCAAGCCTCGGGACCCTCTGTCTACGTGTGTGTGTGTGTGTGTGTGTGTGTGTGTGTGTGTGTGTGTGTGTGTGTGTGTGAGAGAGAGAGAGAGAGAGAGAGAGAGAGAGAGAGAGAGATGGCTGTCTTTTTAACATTTGCATAGAAATTTTACCACCTCTGCCACTGACTGCCATCTGACTCCAGGTCAGATTAGGGATGGAAGGAGGCGGAGGTTCTGTGTTCTTGTGTTTAAGGTGTCCTGCTCCCTAAGCCTTTCTGAAGGGGGAAGGCTTTCCGCCATACTGTGAGAGCAGAATCTCACCAGGAGGTGGAGGTGGGAGAAAACTTGCCGACTTGTGCTGTGCCCCTTCCCTCTCCACTCCCACCTCCCTGTGCTGGACCGTGATTGGCTGAGGGCTGTGCGTGGCCCACGGCTCTGGGCACTTGTGCATCTGTGGTGCTGTGGGAAAGGGGAGGAGGGCTTTCCATGAATACCTGGCCTTAGAGTAGGAGAAAAAGCTCAAATAACCTGCTAGTGGGAATCAGGCAGCCTGTATCACAGGTCTGGCTTTCCTCCGTACTGGCTGGACCTTTCCTTTTCACATGTTTAAAAGTCAGTGGACATGTAGCGTCTGTGGACCCTTTGCTGAGCCTGTTCACTTTGATTTTGCTCAGAGACCTCGGGGTGGTGTTGTATCCCAGCCTGGTGCATGTCCTTTGCTCTCCTCCTTCCCGCTTTGTACTTTCCACCCAGCGCTTTGCTTTCTCCTCCCATGACCTTTCTCAGCTTGCCCCTTCACTACTCCCCTCACCCCCCTTTGTCTTCCATCTCTCTCCCTGCCTTTTTTGCTCCTCCTGGACCTGCAGGAAATGCTTCCCTGGCTGTCTCTGACAGGGTCTCCCACTTTCTCTTTACTGCAGAGGGGTCTGGCCACTTTGATGAGGATGGTCCCGTAAAACTTTTACTTTCCAGTCTTTAATGAGCTGGAAGATTTACTCAGCTGTAATTCTGAGCTCAGGAACCAAGAATAGAGACCCCTAACCAGCGACATGTTAATTTAGACTTCTTTCTTCCACACACTAACAGTCGTGAGGAAGTCGGAAATAAAGATGCCCCAGTATATTTTCCTGTCATTTAATTAATTTCAACTTTCAAAATGAAATGTTGGCTGGAGCCACTGAAAATACATGTCGCCTAAATTATTATTGCATGTAAATTTCTTTGCAAGTGCATGATTCAATGTACATTCCTTCATTATTAGTCTCTTCAACATTATTTCAACTGGGTTTATTCTCTTTTGTGAGGTGTGACCTGTTCCTGTATTACAATAATCCCCGATGTACCCTTTTTTCTTTCTTCCCTAAAAAAGAAGCTAATTGAATTATCTCATTATTTTAATTGGTTAAGCAAATGTATTTTGCATCTCAGGATGTGTTCTTAAAGAAAGAGGCTGCTAAGGCTTTGCCCCTTGAATGGGCCATTGGTCCATTTTGACAGTCATGCATTCATTAACTAGCAGAACATAAAAGAACTCTGGTTGTATTTTTTTTTTTCAAACACCCAACCAGCATGGAACAACTTTTTCCAATAAGCCACAGGGGTCTCTCTACATATGTTCTCAACTGCAAGCTATTGTCACCTATTCTGAACGCCTCAAAAGGCCCAGAGAGGAGAAAAACCCACCTCAACAAAGGCTAACTGTAGCAATTGTTAAGTCTTAGTCTCAATATGACAAAAATCATTAACCTTCAGTTTTCTTAGAAGAATAAGTTCCACTGCAATTGTAACAATTAAAACAATCTCTCAAATTTCTGCATACTACTAACTTCAGGGAAAAGGGTACCAGATTTATTGCTTAATTGATTATATTGAAGAAAATATGGGAACTTAAAAGCCGAGCTGTTTGATGAATCGAAGAGTTAATACTTCAGGCAGTTTGAATTTGCTTAATTTGCAGTGTTGTAAACAATTAGTTTCTAGTTCCTAACTACGTGTTTTCAAAATGTTCTTTAAAAATAGACATCCTCTCTGAAAAACTGACAGTAGTTTTAAGGAAATAAACGTGTATTTCTTTTAGAAAGTCAACTAGGGAAAAGACTGCACGTAAGAGGATAGATACGTAACCGCTCTCCATTGGTTGATGCTCTGCCTGACTTCTTTGGGTAAGAAATGTAGAAAAGACAGAAGATAGAATCTGTTGGAAATGCATGTGCTTTAGCTCGAAAGTATCCAATCGCAAAAAAGAAAAAGAAAACATAGGGAAATCCTAGGGAAGCATGCTCCTTTCACTAACACATGGCGATTGTGATGTCATAAAAGTAAGCCTGCCATTGCAACTGTTTTTATTTGACTTCAAAGATAGCTAAAGAAAGAAACAGCAAGAAATAATACCCAAGCTGACGGTTTATTTATAAAGATGAAAACCCCTCCACGCCAGGCAGCCCTGAGAGGGCTCAGTTAGCCACTCAGCACCTCCTCTGCGCCTTCAAGAGCCCCTCTAGTTGGGCTGCAAAGAATTGGGACCAGGGAAGAAAAACAGGAAGTGCTCCCACACAAAGACCTCACTTGCTCATACCAGTTTCTGGCTGAGGGTCTTCGTATTTGAAAACACGGGGATAAAGCTTGTACTTGGGAGATGTGAGGCTCCTTTCAAAGATATGTGACTGGATTAGAAGCAAGGTTTACCTAACTGCGGCGTAATATACCGCGCAGCCTTCTTGAGCATGAGGGTCTAGCCGGTCTTGCCCTTTGTCTGTGGCAATGCTTTGGCCGGCCCAAGCCTGCCCCTTGGCCTTGACCTATCTCACTCCGTGGCTATTGGAATGTGTTTTGTGAAATTTGATAAAGGCTTGGGTGTGGCTAATATTCTTTACCATACTGTCATGCTCAGGCAGTGCACCCAAGTTAGGAGCAAATAGAGTTCTCTTACCCTGTGAATTCAAGACCCAGATAGTCCACATAGTTATTTTAAGGTAGTTACTTTGTACGTACTTTGTATGTCTGTGCTCCCTACCAGGAGTGTGTTTGTACATGTGTACAAGAAGAGGGAAAGAGCTAGATTATTTTTCCTTTTAACTAGTTTTCCTTGTTCTGGGCGCATCTGGAAGACTTCCTCTCTGAAA